AAGAATTGTATGGTTGACTGTAAGGAGAATTACAAACTTAATCTGGGAGTTAAAGGGTTAACTAATTATCCATACGAGAAATATATCCTTCAAAGCTTTCTACCTGGTACTTATTAATATATTCTCATTTCTTTATCTTTAAGTTAACCCTTAAGTTGACTCCCAGGATCTTATTGTTAATTCTCCCCTCTGGCTGATAAGGTTTTCCTCTAAATAATTTACGAGAATTGGTGTTAGATCAAGATAACAACTACTCCATGATCAGTTGAGGTATTCTCGTTACCTGATTCTTGGATAATGTATGGATATTATAGGGAGAAGTTACATATTTATCACTTCTGGGAGTTAAAGGGTTTTATATTTTTATCTTGCAGCTCTTTCTCTTTCCTTTCTTATTTACACTCTACTACCAACAACTCAAATCTAAATAGATATCATGGCACTCGACCAGATTAGATTTTTAACTGTTCTGGTAACCATCGTAATTGTAAATGTACGTCTTCTGCAAAAAAGGTAGTAAAGTTGTTGTTGTTGTTGTTGTTGTTGTTGTTGTTGTTGTTGCTTTTTGTTGTAACAGCTTCACAATCATCAACCTCACCTGAAGATTTAAGTCTGACAGGACTGCAAAAGCCGTTAGGTGAGTGCAAGAGCAAACTGTGTGAGTTATATTGGTCTTCACTGATTTACACCCGTAACGTGACCAACCACCACCACGCGTGTCTCTATGGTAACGAAAAACAACACGCAGGCTTAACAATCACAACGCGTCTGGTTCGGGAATAACTGTTTTCATTGTGTGTCTTTAGTGGAATTTTTGCGTTAGAATCACGACAGACTACCATGTAGAATATCGTAATACTCCTTCAATGCTACTTGACGTAAGCACGAATTAAGAATCTTTTTATATGCAAAGTTTAACCTTGCTGGGCGTTACTACTTAAGTTGTTTTGGTCGAAAAGCACATTGGGATGCAAGGTAAGCGTTCTTAAACTGAAGCACAGCTTTTTTGTGGTGTAGGTATCCTCAAAGAAACAGTAGGGCAAATGACGAAAGGTTGTCTGGATCCTTAGATCGCAAGAGCGAAGAAGCTACATCTTAGCAAACGCCAGTATCGCTCTTGCATATGAAAACCGTTCGGAAGTTGAAGCATAGCCAATGTTTTTCGTAATGATGGCAAAAGACGTCAACCAAAAGTACCTGTACATGTCATATTCGATTATAGTATATTTTATAGCGGTTTTTGCCATAACGACGACGTGCAACTCTTGTAGTGTCTCCGATTGGCGGTTTCTAGGTTACCATGTTCTCCCGCTGACGACAACTCGGAACGAAAATGAGTACACAGGCGCGAAAGCGGCGCGACTAGACAAGTGTCTCTATGGTAAATTCGAGAGTATGCAACAACATAAAATTAAAGCTATTCATTATTATACTCACGGTACTGAATAATTCCAGTGCACACAAATGTAAGACGATCGATTCACCTAACAAAAAGGAAAGATGACAAATAAACCAACATGACAGCAGTTGCATTGATCTCGTGGTAAACCAGGATTATTTAAGAGAAGACAACTTAAACATTCTTGGGTTAGTTTCTTAAACAAATCCTAACTAAAATTAGTAACGAATAACAACTTACAAGTCTGTTGGCGAAGGCAATGCGGACAGGATATGTTAAGGGAGCCATTTCCATCTCAGGTAACTTGACAGAGATGACATCAGAGCTGACTTCAACGTTGTACTTCGAGTCACTGGAAAAGAAAAAAAAGGGACCTTGATTATATTATAAAAATTCTCATCCAGAAGAAGATTAACCTTTTATCTCCAAGATCTCATTAGTAATTCTCCTTACTGTCTGTCATACAATTCGTATGATGTTAGTTCGGAGAATTTGGTATTGGATCAACTAAAAATCCCTTAATTTATATTTTTCTCTATTCTCATCACTTGTCTCCTTGATATTGTATTGATATTGTAAGGAGAAATTCTGCCCTCGTCACTCGTGGGAGTTGAAGGGTTAACAGGAACTACAGATGTCAAACTTGGAAATCATTTATGCTTCTTACACTCACAAACTACAACGTGGTTCGCTTAAAATAAATTAATATATGAGTTTTATCAAAAATAAGAAGAAGACAAGCAAAAGCAGTTATAGCAAATCGTAAACTGCTTTTAATTATTTCTGGAACATATTCCATTTCTTAATCAATCCACAATATACACCGCCAGCAGTCCCTTCTTCTCGTTGCAGTCCGTTGCACGATTAAAATAAATTCAGTGGGGAAAAAAATGACGTTATCGCCCTTCACACCCAAAATTCAACGCATCAATTTTTTTTTCTTTTCACAATCTCTTTTGGCTCGTGCGACAGACTTCGCTGAAAAGCAGGGACTGCTCGTAGTCTAACCACGAAACAGTCTCCTCTAAATACTAGGGGGGAAAACCAAAAATTGTTTAAAAATTCTATCCAAACGTACTTTCAATGCATTTAGTGCATGTAACATACCGGATCTTCGCGTCAAACGCCTTGGGTAATAAATCTCCGATATTTCTGATGATCATGAAGCCAACTCCTATGTTGTCTTCCACGTCTAAAACAAAATTAAATAAAAAAATATTTAGTTCTCTAAAAGAGCTGTCACTCACAACATTACAATAATCATTGCAAAAAAAATTATAGCAATCTTAAAAATTGTTCAAATCCGCCTCTCTTTGTTGCTGTTTGCCAGCTCTCCCAGGTGTCCTTTTTTCCTCGCGTGCGCGCGCGGAATCCAAACGCGCACTAATTTTTCTGTGTCAGGGTTTAATCTAGAAACTACCCAAAGAAGGCCTGGCGGACCCCCTTCTTTAGTTTTAGGGAGGCCCTTTACCGAGAAAAGGGTTATTACTATGTAAAATAGTACTTACAAAATAAGAATATCCTTCGGCACAATTTTTAGCGCCTCATTTGATATTTAAACGTACCTTTTATAAGGCAAATTTTTCGACTTGTGGCGATCCCGCAAAATCGTACTAAAGTATAAACCCAGGTACTTGTTATGCAAGTTACGTCAAATTCAAGACTTACCTGTTCCACGAAAGAAAGGTTTAGGAAGGTAAATTCTATTGGAGATATTACGCCAAATTTTATAAGGAGAGTCGCTGTAAACGTCTGTTCTCGCGGGGTACGATAATCCAGAGAATCCTTTGACATACACTGGATGAAGTTCCATAACTATGAAGAACATGGCGTGGATATTAGCAAGTGAAAGCAATCGTTTGCTTACAACAAAACCGTCCTCTAGGTGAATCAAAATAGTTTCTATAGTTTGCGGAAAACTCATAAAAAGGGCGAAGTTACGGTATTCTAAAATATAGGCTACTACGATTTTCACATAAATAAGACGGGAAAGTATCATTCGAGCGCATGTTCAGGATCAAGATCTCTAGAACGCGTTGAATGCCGTTAAGTAATATTTCATAAATCTCTGATAATAGCTACCGTGCGCTTCTTAACCCAAACACCACAAGTAAAATCCCCAAACTGATCAGAAATCTCTATTGACATCATCTGTCTTTCATAATTTCAAATTCCAAAAAATGCAGTGATATTGTTTGCAACATTTCAATCACTTATGAGACAGAGCGGAGGAATTCCCCGACAAGTAGGTATTAAAATTACCTCAAAATGCGACACAGCCCTGTTACACACAGCAAACTCAACAAAATATAATTCTTACCAATATTGGGAGTAATAATCGTGTACGGTGGCAAAATGCTGTCGGTAGAGCGCCTGTATCTGCGCGAGTCTCGTTTTAAGTACGGTAGACTTCTGGCTAAGTTTCCGCTGAAGTTTTCCATCTGTTTTAACAAAGCCGCTGTCCCTGCGGAGTGCTGTCAAATTGAAAGAAACAGCAGTCAAGATAAGAGGCTTACACGGCCAACGGAAGATAATAGTAGGGTAAGTGTACATAAAAATATCTACTGCTCCCAAAAATCGCCTTACAAAACTCTTGACCTCACTGCCAGTACCTTCGAGCTAGTGCCGGTATAAACAAGGTCACAATCCAATGGTCAGTGTCACATTTTTGAAAACCGGAGCCGAATTGTAAAAAAATTAAGACTAAAGATTACTGCGAATGACCACAGACACCTGAAAATATCTTAGTAGAAGCTCGCTTTCCGAACAAGTATGATGATCACGGTTAAAAACTCGCTATTGGCTTCTGTTTCCAGTCATGCGAATGGCTGAAAGGGCACGAGTTTCACAGGCCAATTGGAGAGCATAGTGAAATAAAAACCAGCGACAAATCGACCGTGGATTACTTGCAAAAAGAAAAAATAAAATAACAGCAAAAATAATTCGGATCAATGTCAGGACCTGCGCAACTGCGCACCTACCCTTCCCTTAACCCAACAATAACACGCACTTGTTATTAGTTGACTGTTCTTGGGTCAGGGGGAGGGGTAGGTACAGACTTGCTCAGATACTGATGCAATAATTATTACCCGTTGAACGACGTCCCACACATCTTTGTTATCGGAGCTAAACAGCGTACTGGCTGACTGAAGAAGGATCTGTGGATCATATCATATAATTACTTGAGTTGTTGTTCTTGAGAGAAGCAGAAATTGTAAGCAGAAAAGAAGAGAGAAGCAGAAATTGTAAGCGCGAGGGATTCCGGATCGAAAAGTCGGTTTTGATCCGTAAACTACTCTCTTGGTTGCGTTTTCTGGCGAAACTTTCTTTAACCCTTTACACCCTAACATCAGCATGCATATTCTCCATACTGTTCTCTATACAGTTCCTAATGTGCTGACAAGGAGAATTGGCTTAACGATCCTGAGCTTCTATAGTTGTTGATCATTTCCATTATTCTCATGACCTTAGTGTGTCATTCGGGGATGGTACTGTAAGGAGAAATTAGATGCTAGTCACTCTTCAGGGTGAAAAAACTGACCAGTGAACTTCATTTTCACATTCGCAGCTGCATATTTAAATTAAAAGTGGATTTTCCCGTCCAAAAAAAATGGACGTTGTGCCACATCATTATTTCGAAACAGCTCTCTTAGTCACAATTTCACTTCTTGACTGTGGGTTTCTTGTGACCTGGCAAGAAATGGGAAATCCAGACACCATACAACTATTACTTCCGCCACGAAAACTTACGCAGATAAGACAGTGAACGCGTTTTCCGATTCAACAGGTCTTCCTCACGCGAGGAGATCTGCCTTTGAAAGTGGCAAAAATTCAGGCAATGTTTGAACAGTTAACCCCATGCACCCTAAGATCAGTCTACATAATCTCTATACTGTCCTCTTTACCTTTCCAAAGGTCCTGACAAGGAGAATTTGTTAAACTATCAAGAGCTTCCTTAACTGGTGATCAATTCCTTCATTCTCGTGACCGTAATATTTGATTCAGGGATGATATCGTAGGGAGAAATTAGTTGCTGGTCATTCTTAGGAGTCAAAGAGTTAAGAGCTAGGCATGATGGGATCGTTGCTTGAGGTGCGACAGGGCGTGAAATTGCGCCCAATACAGGCGCCAATGCTACTAAATTTTTCACTTTGGCGACCAAATCCTGAATGCTCTATCATAACCTTACCTAGATGTATAGGGAATTAAAAAGATTTGCAAAGATAAATCCGTGGCAAACTTTCTCGTTAAGTTGGTTTCCAAAACGCAGCACATGCATCTCAATCGATAACTGGACGTCATCTTGGATTTAGGTGAGCTTGAACGTTGTATATCATCCATCCTAGTGTCCACTTTGTAACGTGTTAAAGATCTTTCCCTACCTTAATTTTGGAGGGTCTATCTAGAACGCTGACAGCGTAAAAAAAGGTTTTGTTTGTCTTTAAATATGGCGACCAACTTTTTTCGAATTGGCTACCACTTTGAAAAATTTAGGAGCCAAGTGGCTATCAGAAAAGAAAATTAATTTCACGCCCTGTGCGACCGTTTCGATTCCCGCCAAATGAGCTGAAGTCGGCGGCGTCACGCCTTGTTTAGGCCAGGCCACTAAGTCGAATGTTATGCTCATTTTAAGACAACTACCCAAAGAATACAATCCCCTTGAATACTCAAACTGCGGTAAGCACTATATCTTTACTTTAAATGGCTGAGATGGAAATTATGCGGTTTCTGCAATAAACTTCTCTAACTTTCGCACCTTCGCAAACTCCTTGGTCTTGGCTGAAACAAGCGTGCTGGAGTTTTGTTGACTCTCGTATCCAAACAGAGTGGTAATAATCGTCAGTGCGATTTCTATGTCTCTGGCGTACAGTTGAGGGGATAACGTGATGGCAAGATCTAACTGCTGTCCTATACCAAGGGCGAAATCTGGCTTCCAGTCAACGTTACCAGACGTCAAGTTTTTTAGCTACAAAAGACACAAGGGTAATTTAGTATTATCAAGTGACTTGATAACGTAAATTGGCCATCGTAAGGAGTTTTAAGGCTGATGTTTCGAGCGTTAGCCCTTTGCCAATCGCCCTGACGAAGGGCTAACGCTCGAAACGTCAGCTTTAAAACTCTTAACGGTGGCCAGTTTACGTTATCAACTCAGTTGATATTACCGTCATACTCTTCCACCGACATGGCACAAGAGTTTGTTTAGAAACTTAAACCCTCTACAAAAAAGAAACCAGTTGAATTGCCATCTGTCTGTGAAGACATGTTGGTCAATTGATTAAGGGCGGGGGGAAGAACGGAGATATCTCCATGATCTGATATGATGTATTAAAGGATACATGTTCCATGATAGGGGCGGGGGTGTCTAACAGACAGTAGTTGATAACTTTCCATCTTAAGAAAGAACGACCTTTCTTGAACATTTCAAGGAACAATTTATCACATAATTCTAGCTTGCGACTCATTCAAAAAAAGCAGAGTAAAAAATTAATAAACAAAGCGATAAACATGTATCACATAAACAAGGGAGAACTACTACTTCGTGTCGGGGCAGGATTAAATACAGACTATAGTTAGCAGTTATTCACCGAAGTGAAGGTAGATAAAAATCACTTTCACCGACACTGAGGTAAATTATTATATTTCATAAGCTCTCACCTTCTGCTGCAAAACAAAGAATGAGTTGGACACACAATTCAGTAGACTTGGTTTCTGCCAGCCATCATCCTTGTGACAAAACCGAGTTGCTGTTCCTAATAAGGAAGAACGAAAGAAAAGCATTAATCACAAACGTTCTCTCTAGTGATCTCAAATTGTGGTTGAATCCGCGAACTTGGGAGTTAAAACTACACAAGTTGCGCAGAACATTAAACATTACTGCAGGCTTGTGCTGCTATGTTACTCTCACCTAAATCATCACCCACACTCGTGTTTTAAGCACAGACTACAAATCTAGCTTCTCACATGACAACCTAGCTTTCGATCACGCCTTCATGATCAGCGCTGCAGGACGCGCGTTTTTCCACCGGCGGGAAAATTTGAGACGCGTCAGGAAGAGGTTTGCTGGAAGTCTGGCACTAATAATGTTATTTTCAGCGTAAAACTCGTTGCACACCTCTCTCCTACTTGCGTCGCTTACGGCCTCATACTTTCCCGCGGGCGAAGAAACGCGATACTAATGAGCTACTGCTCAAAAGTTCGTGAATATCACGTAACTTGGTTTTATTCACTGACTTAAC